TAATTGCATTCTTAATCTCGAAATTCACCTACCCAATATGGCCTTTTTGTCGTGCAAACAGAAAAAGGGAAGAAGCATCGCATTCGCCATAAGCGAGACAGCTATCTCTAGCGGGTGCCAGCAATCGATTAGGACCGGTTGAGTTATCTCATAAACCATAGGTGCAAACAGCCACGTGTTCGGGTGGGTCGGTCGCTCAAGTCTCAATCCGTGTTTTACCCGATTCGTCTTATTAATCGCGCGCTTCATCTCGATAGTTCACCTGCCCAAATACGGCTTCAAAGCAAAGGAATTTTCGAATTCACCGCGAGCAAAGACAACTCTCGTGACACCACGTGACGCACGGCACATCTAAAATATGCCGAGGCGTGGTGGAGGCACGCACGCAAAAACCAAGAAAAGTCTTGGCTTTTATCGATTCCTCTCAACGATTCCCCACTTTGCTCCCCCTATTCATCCGCAATAATTCTGGCGTATGGTTTTAAGTATCAAGTAAGGTTCGGGCCCTTTCGGAATTTCACACCGTGCCGCCACCGGCTACCCCGGCGTACCGGCCGCGGCCAGAGATGTTTCCTCCCCGGTGGCTTCCACCTTCGATCGCACCCTCACATTGTGCCACGCGGCCTCGTCCAAGATTCTTCTCCACCAAGAACTTCTCGCATGCTGTTGAATCCCCGGTACCAAAAACAAAAACAAAAAAAAAATAAGATTAATACCACGAAAAAACCTCAATATGGTACATTTATGACAATTTTATTCCGAACTAATTTTTTTACCACAAAAAATCCCAAACTGGTATACTTGTGACAAATTTACCTTCTATTAAATTGGATTAATATCCCGAAAAATCAAAAATTCGTAAACTTGTGACAAACAGAGGGGTAAAACCCTAAACTAGTACATCCGTCAACTACCACGTATCGTCAAACTCAGCAATTTAACAGTAAAATTTAACGGAAATTAACAGAGGGTAAATTTATCACAGGTGTACCAGTCTGGAGTTTTTTGTGATCAAAAAATTAATTTAGGAGAAAATTATCATAGATGTATCAGTTTAGGATTTTTCGTGATATTAATCCGTAGTAATTTATAGATTTGGTTTAGGAATCAATTATATTCAGGCTTCATGTGCTAACGAGGACTCGACCCGCCGCTCCACATAAGCTTCCCCTAAGTGAGGCTTGTGTTGTCCACGCTAGGAAATCAATGATCGCTACGTGATTGACGTGACTTTTGTCCCTTCTCCCCTATACGTATCGTAGGTAGATGAGACCAAGCGTTGATTAAATGCATGGCGCGCCAGCCCCACGACGAGTGAATCGCCACGTCGATAATTTTCGGCGAAAATTTTATCGGAAGATTTAAGACTTAATTGATAAAATTGAAAAGTTTAAGAGTGAACTAGCCTTCGTACAATAAATTTAAGACTGATTGGACAATTTCTTCAATTTTTTTTTTGAATCATAGCAGTAAACATAACCATCCCAACACCTTGATTTCTCGCCAGTAGTCATGCGGCCCTGCTACTAAAGGGATTGGGGGAGTTGGGACGCTGGTATCACGAGTGCAGAGTTCGACTCTCGCGCTCTGTAAGAGGCAGAACAAAAGTCAGAGAGTGAAATCAGAATTAGAAATATGACAGATAAAAAAAAAAACCTTGATTTCTCGACTAACGATGCTAATTAATACATGCTTATCTAATATGCGTGCCCTCCACAACCTTGAGAAAATCCCCTAAGCAATAAATATCAACACGCAAATACTTGTCAAATTTTCGAGCACCCAATACGTTACTAATATAGATATTTTTATAAGGCACCCGTCGGTGTTTGCGCGGTCTCATGTAGATCATTCACTGCCTTCGTGTTTCGTTTTTTTTTTTCCTTCAAATTTACGTTCATACAATTGGCAACAATTATATTCTTTTCGCATATTTGCTTACTTTTTTTTTGGTCAAGCAATAATTTGCTTACTTTTGTTTTTGTCTGTCCTACTCTAACTCTCAATTCACTTTCAGACTTTTGTCCAACCTCTTGCAGGGCGTGGGAGTCGAAACCCATAGCTGAAACTACACGTCGCCACTCCTAGCCCTCCTGAGAAGATGGAGATTCGAACTCCCCATCTTCTCATTCTCAAGTAGAAAAGATGGCTACTGGAGCAAATGTCAGTGATTATAGTTTGCTTACTTCAAGAGGGGGCTTTTCTCAAGCGTCCTAGCAAAGAAAGTGCATGGTTTAAGTCCAAGTGTCTACGCAACGAGGCAACCTAGGATTGTGATCAACCACATCTCCACAATTCAAGTGGTTCGTACTCAATGGCACCGCCAAATGGAATGAAGCACGTGATTGGCGCATGAGTGCGCTATAAGAAAATAGACTTTCCTAGACTCCTAATTAAAAAATATACGGAAAAAGCCACAAAAAAAAATCCTCAAATTATGTCCATGATACATTAGACTAAATTATATTGAACATTTTCATATAGTTCATGGACGTCATTGAACATACACAAAAGTTCAGGGACCATATTGAACATTAGACTAAATTTCAGGAATTATATTGAATAAATTAAAGTTCAGGAATTATATTATACATTGTGTCAAAGTTCCAGGACCATTTGGGTCATCATCACTAGGGGTGTCAATAAGTCGGGTCGGGTCGGATTTTCATGATACCCGACCCGACCCGAAATAATGGACAAGTGTGCTTGGCCCGACCCGAAACAAGACCCGAACATGATATAGCTAAGTGATCGAGACGGGTCGGTCCGGGTTGGGTCGGGCCGGGTTCCGTATTTCAAACTCAACCAAACGATTTTGTTCTTGCTTTCTCATCACCTCAAAAACCTGCCAAATTCATTCCACGCCCAAAAATGAATTTATGATTTCCACGCTCTCGACCCGCGCGTATGCCAACACTCCCTTCTGCTTCTTGAGTTTCTATCCTTCCGCGCCGCCCACGTCTCCTCCGTTGCAGCACGCCGAAGATGCCCCTTCCGGCGCGGCTTCGTCGGTGAAGCCTGAGCCTCCCGAGGAGGCGCGAGGTGCGGGGTCAATTCTAAACAGAAAAGCTATCTAGTGATCAATTCTAAACAGAAACAGAGCACGCTAACTTGTGATCACAGTCCTATTAAACAATCAGAAGCAAATAGCAAAATCATTTGAAGGCACAAAGAAACTAGCAGCAAAATCGACATTTCAGTCTGCAAAGATGTCGCGGTCAGCAAACGAAGCACGGAACGAGCCCACGAGAACGCCCAACCTGGTGGAAGCAATCGGACCCGACGAGGGTCGGGCCGCCGAAGAGACCGGCAGAGGCGACGGCGGGGAGGTCCAGGATGCCGTCCCTGATGGCGACCCCCGGCCGCGCCGGCGAGCCGTTGTCTGGCCGAAAGACCCCGAACTACGGGTTCTAGATCGAGAAGTGGGAGCCGGGGTCAACATCGATGAAGGACTTGAGGGCCATTGAAGTGCTGTCTCCGGAGCTCCGACGGAAGAAGGTGCGGTGTTATGTGGCGGAGAGGCTTGGAGGGAGAGAGCAAAGGAAGGCGAAGTGATATAGCAGAAGAGAGATAGCAGAAGAGGCGAGAGAGTGAGAGAGACGTGGAAGAGAGATCTATGGTTTCCTTGTTTTGGTTTTTCTTGTTTGGGTTGGGCTTGGGTACCCGAACCCAATAAATTCAAAACAAGATCCAATTATTTTGCTTGTTACCCAAATAAATTAAGACCCAACCCGACCCAATACGAAAATTTCCTATTTGGATCGGGTCGGATTGTGTTTGGGCGGGTTCTTTTGACACCCCTAATCATCACTTCTTCTTATGTGAAAGGCTTGGTTTTGGGAAAAGAGAAAATTAGGATGGGAATTTTTATAATTTTTTTTGTAAGAAAAAATTAGAATGATAAGGTGATGAAAGGTGTGATGGGGATAGGTGGAATGGGTTAAATCAGAAAGGCAGGGAGGAAAAATGGTGCCTTGCGATCGGTGGGTTCGGATGGAGGAGGTGTCAGCCGCGGCGCATGCGGGTCACGAGGCGGTCACATGGGGCCCACGCACACCGCGAAACTCATGGTCGCCCCTTTTCTTCCCCCGACTGTTTAATTATTGTCATATTTTTTGACCCCCAAAAAACATATATATATCACCAGCATAATAAATGAAAAGTCAAATATGTATCAGTTAGTTTCCGTTAAATTTTACTATCAAATTGCTAAATTTAATGACACGTGATAATTAACGGATGTACCAGTTTGGGGTTTTACCTCTCTTTTTGTCACAAAATTATCAATTTGTTATTTTTCGTGATATTAATCCAATTTAACGGATATTAACAGAGGGTAAATTTATCACAAATGTACCAGTTTAGGGTTTTTAGTAGTCAACAAATTAGTTTAGGGTAAAATTGTCACAAGTGTACCGGTTTGAGATTTTTAGTGGTCAAATAATTAGTCCGGGATAAAATTATCACAGGTGTACCGGTTTTGGATTTTTGGTGATCCAAAAAATAGTTCGGAGTAAATTTGTCACAGATTTACAAGCTTGGAGTTTTTTGTGGTCAAAAAATTAGTTCAAAGCAAAATTTTCACAAATATACCAGTTTGAAATTTTTTGGGGTAAAATTATCACAGGTGCCGCCACCGGCTACCAAGCGAACCGGTCGCGACCAGATACTCTCCCCCCCCCCCCCTCTTCCCTCGCACCCACACATTGTGCCACGCGGCCTCGTTCAAGATTCTTCCCCACCAAGAACTTCTCGCATGTTGTTGAATCCCCAGAGGACCAAAAACAACACAAAAACAAAAAATATCTCCTGATCATTTCTTTCTTTTTTCATTATATTTTCTGACCCATTTCTTAAGATTTAAATTGATTCTGATGTTTCAAGCGGAGTAATTTGAACAGAAACATGTATTTTCTTGCAAAAGAAAAAGTTTCCATTCACTTTTTTTTTTTTTCGCGCGTGTGGCCGATAGCATATGTTCGAAATTAAGGGCGAAACAATTCAGACATATTCCGGAGTTAAATTGCGGATGATATGATTTTATACTTACACTGCTAAAAATATCGAATCAAGATAATGCAATTAAATAATTATAAAAAAAAGGCAAAACACCGCCGACAATGTATTTTCCCCAGTTACAAAACTTTGCCACAAAACCAGCCATTCACAGCAGGGAAATCTCCAAAACTCTTGCATTTCTCTTGTTTTTCTCAATGTTTTTTTTTTTTTGAAAAGCTCTCACCTGGCGACGCGGGGATCCGACCCGAATATGTCCCCGATGTCGGGAAAATGATCGTTGACGTTCCAGTCGAACCTGAGCCCGAGATCGTCGCCGAGGTTGGCGACCACATCGCCGTAATCACAGTCGTCCTGCAAGACTCCGTCGCCGAAGCTGGGGAAGTCGTCGAAAAAGTCCCAACCGGAACTCTGGAAATCGAAGATTTCGTCCGGCAGGAGCAAGTCCAACGGCGAGCGGTCGGAGCGCTCCGAGAAGTTCTTCGACACCCACGAGTCCTTTGTTGCCGATTCGTCGATAGACGAATTGGCTTCCTCGCTGGAGACGCCCCGGAGCACTGACGTCGGAGAAGAGACGTGGCGAGACGAGTCCTCGCCGGACACTGAGCTGGAGCTGGCCGCCGTCGCCGCAGCTACAGTCAGTGGCAGAGGAGGGACGGTACAGTTCTTCGGCGGCGGCAGGGACGGAATAGATTGTGCTGACTGCGGCGGCGTAGAGAAGTTGGTGGGCGCATTCGGCCCGCGCAGCTGTAACGCCGCCTTGTCGTAAACCATGGCGGCCTCTTCGGCCGTGTCGTATGTTCCCAGCCACAGCCGCACCCGTCGCGTCGGGTCTCGAATCTCCGCCGCCCATTTTCCCCACGGCCTCTGCCTCACGCCCCGGAACTTCTTCCCGGCGGACGCCTTCGGGTCCCGGCGACCGACCGGAATCACGGACTTCCCGGACGAGGCCTTCCGGCGTTTGGCCTTCGCTCCTCCCCCGTCGCTACCGGGCTGCATAGCAATCTCGTGGACGAACTTCTTGATTCGCCGGCGGGGGAACGGCTCGGCCTCTTCGTCGCTGGAGGAGTCCGTGGCGTCGGCGTCCGTGTACGATATTCTGAGGACTCTGGGGTTCATTTCGGGTCGGCTTTTCGGGCTGTTGAGATGGTCGGGTGTCACGAGCACGGTGTGAGTGCAGTGTTCAGTGAACTTGATGGGAGGCATCATTTCGCAGAAGGGGTTGAATCAGCTTTCGGTTTTCGCTGTGGATGACATCCAAAAAGCGAAGAGAGAGAGAGGAGGGAGGGGAAGATCGTGGAGATATTCTTCAGGGATATAAAGATAGCAGAAAAGGGGTGAGGGAGAGAGGATGAGGAGGAGGGGAGGAGGGAGGAGGGAGTTAAAGTGAAGCACGAAACGCAGAGGAATTGGCTTGATTCTTGAAAGGGGGGGGGGTGGGGGAGTGAGCTCCAATAATAAAGCGAGAAAAAACAAGAAAGAAAATTAATAAAAGAGAAGGCGATTTCAAGGAAAGTAGGACACGAAAAGAATCTAAAGCAGCGGGAGAAGCCCCCAAAAAAAAAAAAAAACAAAAAGGGAAGCGGGGGAGGGATGGAAGGAGGAGAAGAGGGGGGGGCGTGCGTGCGTGCGTGGGGAGGAGGAGATAGAGACGAAGACCGAGACGGAGGAGCAAGGAAAGCTGCGAAAGCGGTTGGTGGCGGGGTGCTGTGTGAATAGGAGAAAAACCAGTGCGTGCTCTGGGAAAAGAAAGGGAGGGGAGGGAGGGAGGGAGGGACAAAAGGAAAAGGGGAAGGGGCAAGGGGGGGGGGGGGAAAGATTTTCCGGGAAAGTTAAGGGGACGACGGAAAATGAATTAGGGAAAAAAGAAAAAGCCAGAGACGGACGGACACAGAGAGAGAGAGAGAGAGAGGGCAAAGGTGTGGCCTTTTTCGATGGGGAATGGCGAAGGAGGAGGACTGTGTGTGTCCCCGAGAAATCGAAACGACCACGCCTTTGGCCGCGCACCAATCTCCCTCCTTCTCGATTTTGCCACTTACGGCGAAACCCCACCAAAGCGCACAGCAAAGAGAGAGAGAAAAAGGGGAAGGAGGAGCTGCTGCTCACGACACTGTCACAGAGCAGAGGAATGGAAGAGCAGAGAGACGGGAGATGAGTCGGAGCGGAAATGAAGACCGAGTCCCCACCCATTTTATAGGATCCATTTAATAACATATACTTTTAATCTCCCATTTACTCGACTGCAATTACTATCCTTTTTCTCCGGGAGGCTTGGCGTCGTGAGTCGGGGGAGGGGGTGGGGCCGGGGCGGGGGTTGGGGGGGGGGGGTAAACTCCGGCTGCGAAATCTCCGTTCAACCGCGAAACCGAAACGGAGGAGGGGGGGGGGGATTTTTTTGTTTAGGGGGAGGCGCCGCAAAGCACGGGCAGGCGGACGGGCGACACGTGGCGGGAGGGGAGTGGGGATCCGGCCCGCTCGGCAACCGGTGGTGGGGGGAGCAGGAGGAGGAGGAGGAGGAGGATGTGGCGGTGCTGCTGCCGCTGCTGTCAGGTCCTCGGTTTGACTGGGAAAAAGCCAAGCCCCGTGCTTTGCTTGAGGGGGGAGGGGGAAGGGGGGAGTTACCGTGGGGGTGGGGGCGGGAGCGAAGCTTGAGGTGTTAAATGACCATTAAAGGCCCCTCCTGACGGGGGCGCGTTAGCCGTCCGTTAGGAGAGGGGAGGGGGGCGTTTTCGGTCAAATCGGCCTCCCCCCCCCCCCCGCGGGGGTTGAAATTGAGAAGCCGTTATTTTATTCTTTTCCCAATTATAATTATTTTTTTGCCGCGTGGGTGCGCGGGGGAGCGCGCGCGCTCTGAGCTGGCATCGGGCGGGCGACATTACCGTATCTTTCTCCTCTCTTTTTTTTTAACCCGAGGTTTTTTTTTTTATTTTTCTCTCTTTTTTGGGGTTGAAAACCCGAGGTTTTTCAACTGTCGGGTTTTCACAGCTGCGACTGGGGAAGGGAAGGGACGGTGTGGGGGACCCACAGTTTTTGTGGGGCTGCCGCCTCTCATGAGCGCGCTTTTCACCCAAAAAAAAAAAAAAAGGGGGAGAAAAAAACGAGCATCTACAAAATGCTTTGTTATATGATCAGGGGAGAAATTTCTTTCGTAATTTCCGAAACATCGGTGTGTCCTCGTCGGGTCCTACACCATCGGGTATCTTGGGAAAAAAATTTGAGTCATTTCGAAATAGAGTATGCCAAACGGGTGGGAGACATTTGTCAACGAGAGTCATTATGCTCACCGTCGGACCAAACTCTCACGGTTTCGATGGCGGAGTGTCCTACCGTGTAAAAACTCCGGGCCGTTTCGATTGACTCGCGAGCTTCCCCGTCGTGTTTCGTGGTCCGGCAGCGGCTATTATGTCCTCGAGGGAGGGCGGCGGGGGCCACCCCCGTCCCCACGCGCCTCCCCGTCCGCGCCGTGCGGTAGTCGAAAGCGAATTCGAATCAGCAGTGACGGATGCACACTATTCCCACTGAGGCGAACTTCAAATTCGTAAGATGTAGGCTTGACGTCTAGGGCGGGATTGAGAAACTTCGTGACATGCAGTACCACTTTTTAGGAGGAAATTCATGGAGCATCTACCGACAATGACCCGTTCTGTTTGCCTATCATATCGCATTTCATTAGAGCATCATAACTAAGCTAAGCCGCACAGAAGTTAACAAGAGTCGTGCCCGATTTAAACAGCATTAGCTAGCGAATTCGAAAAATGGGTCTTTTGAATTATTCGAAGTGGTTGAGACGATGGGAAGACTAGGTTAAGGAAGACAGCAGTCAATTATCAGATCAAACCAATTTAAAAATAAAAAAAAAACCAAGAAGAACGACCGACCTCCACATGGTACATATCAGGATGTCCGCTTAGGAATATGCACTCCCAAAACATTTGGTCACTTATATTCGACAGTCACGCGAGCACATTTTTCATATTTTCCATTTTTCTCAAAGAAGAAAAAAAAGGGAAAAAAATCCAAAAGAAAAATTAGAAGATGAAAATGCCGTTAATCATCCGGAAAGTCAGCCCTTCTTTAAAACCGACATAACCATTCCAGGTCCTTATTCAAAACAAAATCCACTTCGTGCCTTTATTTGAGAGAACACGAGCATTTCATATCCTTAATTGAAATTTTCCATAAAAAAAAAAAACCGAAAGCAAAGGGCTTTAATTTCAGCTTATTTGATGCATTTAAATGTTGCCAACCCCGATTGGGATGCAAGATTCAAGAGAAAAGAGGGAGAAAAAGAGAGAGGGAGAGAGGTGTGATGGGTGGGGGACCTCCCTCCCTCCCTTCCATCGAGTCATTAACGGCCAAAGCAAAGCTACAGGAACCGATAGAACCGGACTGTTGTAGTGTTAGGGTTTAAATAAGGTCACGTGAGTCGGGTCGAGTAGATAGTAGCCATGAATTGCTCTTTCATTCAATGGCCTAACCAAACAGCAAACATAAGTTGTCCCCCCCCCCCCCCCCCCACCCTCTCCTCTTATTTCACTTTCACCAGATGCTGTGTTGCCCCTTCTTTACTGGACAGCGACGGGCGGCGAGGGCTGCCCGATGGCGGCGCCCCTTGGGGGTGCGGGTCATGCGGGCTTCGGTTCTCGAGTGCCCTTACATGATAGGGGGGGGGGGGGGGGGGGTCGGGTTGTAACTTGCATTGGCCGAAATAGTCGGCAATGTTAGAATACTTAAATAATAAACCGCGTTTTCATTTAACAGTTTAAGATTTTAAAATAGTTGACAGTGCATTTTACAAAATCTCACATTATATTAGAGCAGAATGTCTCAAGTTCAAATTTTCGGACTCCTATTTGCCTCCCTAATTGCATATTTTTACGCTTTAGGCTATGGCCAAAGTCTAGCCTACGCGTGAAGGGGGTATTAGAATATTTAAATAATAAACCGCATCTTCATTTAACAGCTTAAACTTTTAGAATAAATAGCGGCGGTTCCACAAAATCTCACGAGTAACATAGTCTCTTTTTCGCAATGATAAAAGCAATGAGTTATTATTAGAAATGCTAAAAATTAATTGGTAGGTTTCATTTCTTAGATCACATCGTTGATTTTTTTTTTTTTGCAGCACAAATTCGCTCTGATACTTGATAGAGGATTGCTTCTGAAACGTCGTCCTCCTTAGGTTGCACAATCAATGTGAAGAAGCATAATATTCCACTCGTCGTTTTTTATGTGCATCAATGTGCTTCTTTACATCATAACAAGACACTGGTGGTCTGCATTAAATAATAGTTATTCAAATGGAGTTCGAATATTGATACCTGGCCGTGCCATCAAGAATTTTAAATCGAAATTAATTTTTGAAAGTGTTTCTAACCGTAGACGTCCTGAAAAAAAAATAAAAATAAAAAAGAAACCTCGTGGGTCCACTGGGTCGGGAAAGATTCAAATTCAAGACATCTTGCTATGATATTATGAATGAAAAGTTTTGTGGGACCAGCACCGGTCGTTTTAAAAAGTTTAAGCTGTTAGCTGAAGATGTGGTTTTCATATGAAATATAGGGATCGAGAAAGGAAAATGACCTGCCTTTTTCTACAAATTCGAATTACGAAAGGTCGCTCGTGACCCCAGTTTATTCAAAAAAGATAACCGTGGTAGCAAACTACAATTTTGCAGTTTGTCGGCTCGTCGTGAGCGTAAGAGGCCCTCTTCCTCCACGTGCATAAAAGAAGACTTTGCTTATACCGGGCGGGGGGCATGATTTTTAAAGATTGCCCCGAGAGCGAGACGTGGTGATTCAGACACAAGATACGTGTTGACTCGGTGAAATTTACTCGAGTTCGATGGTTCGGTAATAGGTACTTGTAAATTAGAAGTAGTGCTCTACCATCATATAATCCCAAAAATACATATCGTCATGGAGTGGCCGTATGTGGCATACTTAGTTCTATAAACCAAAAATGGAAAGATGAACGTATGATTTTTTTTATAATATTGCAAGGGAAATTGAACAACGTGTCAAACAAAGAAGGCCGACCCTCTTGTTCTCTTTGCTCTGATTGGATTTGTCCATTTTAGTAAAGTCCAAGAAAGATGGGAAATTAATTTATTGGGTGATATTCTTGTTCTAGCTAAGCTTACATTTTTCATCCTTTATATTTTGTAATTATTTAATTGGATGAGCTGACCATTGAAGAGTTTTATTTTGTACACGAACGATACAGGCCAATTCTTGCTTTTAGTTAATTAATTTTTTAATTGGGTTTTTTTTGGTTTTTGCTCTCTATGTGATGTTGTCCTTTTTCCTTTGTAACTTGCAAGGATCATGGGCATAATGTCGATGCTACGATACTCCTAGCAAGTGGGTTGATGTAGATACTTCTTCAGTGACTTTGGAAATACCCTTTTGGATACCTTTTTTTTTTGAGTAAAACATGTCGACAATCAAAGAGGGAAAAATAATAATTCAATTCGTCTCGTACTGGTATGTTGTGCTATGTTAATTCGATCGTGCTTTAGAAATGATCGAATCGTTTCGCCAGTCATTATAAAGTGTTGGAGTTCCCTATATTTAGGACTGACCCAATACTTTGGTCAAAATATGTGACGTGGTTTCTCAATCGAGAAACTCAATCAATGCAGAACCCACGATTTGTCGAACTTGGCTTGGCCTTGGCTCATGTAAGAACAACCGAAGACTTTTTCAAGAGTCGGGTCTCTTGCAATTTTGGAGATGCCAATCAATAATTGGTCAAATCGGGCCATCACAAATATTGTACTTTAGTCCATC